TAAAGCCTCAATAAAATACTGACGTAGACCCGGAGCCTAACTTAACCTAATCTGGTGCAGCTTATCCTAATCTAAACTAGCCTAATCTAAATTACCCTTAACCTATCTCAATCGAACTCTAACTAAAAAAATAATTTAACATTAACAACAACAACAACAACAACAAACCAGTAGGCAGACACAACTCTCTAAGGTAGCATATATAAATGGGTTAACCATAGGAGGCGTCTTGAAGGACCCCTCAGAGAGTCCTAGAGATGAACACCCACTCATATATAATTTCAAGGTTGGGAGGAAGAGGAAATTGCAAATCTCACCCCCAAAAAAGAGCCTCGAGACTAGGTAAGTGAAGGCCCTTCGTAACCTCTTGGTATTAATTAGTTAAGGGAGGAGATAGAGTTTGTTGTGAGATTGTCCCTTTTTTTCCGACTGAGGGATTTATGCTCCTGAAAATGAGGGGGAAGGTAAGAGGGAGTGGGTGAGGGAAAGGGAGGGAAGGGAGGTGAGGGGGGAGGGGTGGGCAAAATGAGGGGAGGGGGTGAAGGGATGAGGGAGGAAGTGATGGGAGGTGAAGGGAGGGGACGACATGAGGGGAGCAGGCGAAGGAGGGGGATGAGGAGGTGGACTGTACTCTGAACCACGGCCGTAGTTATGACCCGGACAGTATTCTGAACCACGGCCGTAGTTATGACCCGGACAGTATTCTGAACCACGGCCGTAGTTATGACCCGGACAGTATTCTGAACCACGGCCGTAGTTATGACCCGGACAGTATTCTGAACCACGGCCGTAGTTATGACCCGGACAGTATTCTGAACCACGGCCGTAGTGTTATAACCCGGACTGTACTCTGAACCACGGCCGTAGTTATGACCCGGACAGTATTCTGAACCACGGCCGTAGTTATGACCCGGACAGTATTCTGAACCACGGCCGTAGTTATGACCCGGACAGTATTCTGAACCACGGCCGTAGTTATGACCCGGACAGTATTCTGAACCACGGCCGTAGTTATGACCCGGACAGTATTCTGAACCACGGCCGTAGCGGCGACCCGAATAGTAACTTAAACCACGGCCGTAGTTATGACCCGACAGTATTCTGAACCACGGCCGTAGTTATGACCCGGACAGTGTTCATGCCAGCCTCTCTGACTCACGATCGCGCCTTCGCACGACATAAAAAAACAAAACTTAAGTTACACATCTTGGCGATTGTTTAAAAGAAGATATAAACAGAACTACCTTAACAGCACGGAAGCCTTCCTAACACACCTGAAGCCTCCCTAACACACCTGAAGCCTTCCTAACACACCGGAAGCCTTCCTAACACACCTGAAGCCTCCCTAACACACCGGAAGCCTTTCTAACACACCTAAAGCCTCCCTAACACACCGGAAGCCTCCCTAACACGCCGGAGGTCTCCCTAACACATCGGAAGCCTCGCCAACACACCTGAAGCCTCCCTATAACTCCAGAGACCCAATAACCCACTTCTACACACCGGAAACCTCCAAAGGGCCGGAACCCTGCCCAATAAATCTCCATACGAAAAAAACTAAAAAAATATTTCTCGGAATCTCAATAAATCCAGCCATAACGAAAGAAAAAAATAGGAAATTCTTTTAAGAGTGTTTACAATGGTGAAACTTGTGAGTAACTCCGACACACAGGTAAACACAAGGTAAACAAATGTCCCAAGGGGTCGGGATCGTGTTTACAAAGGTCAAACTTATGATAAACACCGATACACAGGTGAACAAAGGTAAACAAAGGTGCCAAGGGGTGTGGATCGATTCATCAGTGTTCCTTAACAATGTCCCCGGAACCGTGTGATAAATTACTGTGTGCTTCCCTGACAACAAATTATTTTCAAGTCATTTTTTGGTGGTGGTGGGGCGATCATCTGAAGCTTACCCCCCCCCTCCACCGAGGTTATTACACCTGATGATTAAATGCCTAAACCTTACCTGTGAGAGATGGTTAGGTTAGGTTACGTTGAGTTGGGGAAAATTTGGCTGGGTTAGTTTGGTTTGGTTTGTCTGGATAGGCTTAGGTTAGTTTGAGTTATGCAATATTAGGTTAGGTTAGGTTAGGTTAGGTTAGGTTGTGGTGAGAGTGACGGGTGAGTGACGGGCTGTTGGAACAGGTGACATCAGAGAGTGACTAACACCTGTCATTAAGATAATTACACTCCAGTCGCTATTAACGATTTCTCAGGCTAGGGTTACTTCACAATTTTCTTGTCACTTTAAAGACTGGGCAGCTACTTACACCTGTCATTTTAAGTATGGACAATTACTTACACCTGTCATTTTAAGTCTGGACAGTTACTTAAACCTGTCATTTTAAGTCTGGACAGTTACTTACACCTGTCACTTTAAAGTCTGGACAGTTTCTTTAAAAAAAATCCTGTCATTTTCTAGTTAATTTCTATTGACAGCTCGACATTGTAAAGTATACTATTGACATACAGGCGGTGAGCGATACGGTTTATTATACAGTACATTAGTACATATCATCTACTTGTGGGTTATATATGTGAGAGAGTACAGCTTGTGAGCGATATATATCATTATAATCCACTTAAGAATAAAAACACAAAAACATACTTAAATTATATATCTTTAAATTACACACACAAATATCATTATTGGTCATTAATATTAATATTGTCATATTTACACACACACACACACACACACACACACACACACACACACACACACACCTCGTTTTTGCTACCATTCCGAGGTGTATTCAGTACAGGTCGGCAACATAAGGTTATTAAAGCACACTACTATTCAGGATTTTCACCATTATTACCACTGCCATCTTAGACATTCATTTGTAGTCACGCCACCAATGTACGAACACTAACCACTGTGTTCTGATGTTTGCGTTAAAAGGCTATTAATTGTCGTATAAGAGAGAGAGAGAGAGAGAGAGAGAGAGAGAGAGAGAGAGAAAAAAAAGAGAGAGAGAGAGAGAGAGAGAGAGAGAGAGAGAGAGAGAGAGAGAGAGAGAGAGAGAGAGAGAGAGAGCATAGTCACGCAGTCGGTCATGTCTTCAACACTGATGGAGCCTCAGGTAACTTATTTACATGGGCAACAAGCATGGTCAGATAAAGTGAGTGTGTGTGTGTGTGTGTGTGTGTGTGTGTAGAATGTGTATATAAGGAGCGAGTTTAGAGAGACAGAGTGAGTAGGGCAGGGGTGGGGGGTACAGGGGTGGGGGGTACAGGGGTGGGGGGGGGTACAGGGGTGGGGGGTACAGGTGGGGGGGTACAGGGGGCAGGGGGGTACAGGGGGGGGGCACAGGGGAGGGGGGTACAGGGTGGGGGTACAGGGGAGGGGTACAGGGTGGGGGGTACAGGGGTGGGGGCAGAGGGTGGTACAGGGGAGGGGTGGGTACAGGGGAGGGGGCAGAGGGAGGGGGTACAGGGTAGGGGTACAGGGTGGGGGGTACAGGGTGGGGGTACAGAAGAGGGGTACAGGGAGGGGGTACAGGGGTGGGGGTGGGGGGGAACAGGGGTGGGGTACAGGAGGGGGTAGGGGAGGGGTGGGGGTGGGGGTACAGGGGTGGGGGGTACAGGGGTGGGGGGTACAGAAGAGTGGGAGGGGCAAGGGGAGGGGGTACAGGGGGGGTACAGGGGTGGGGGGGGTACAGGGGTGGGGGTACAGGGGAGGGTGGTACAGGGGAGGGGGGCAGGGGTGGGGGTGGAGGATGGGGGGCAGGGGTGGGGGGCAGGGGAGGGGGTACAGGGGTGGGGTAAGCAGGGGTTGGGGGGCAGGGAGGGTGGTACAGGGGAGGGGGTACAGGTGGGGGTACAGAGGATGGGGTACAGGGGTGGGGGGGAACAGGGGTACAGGGGTGGGGGGGTACAGGGGTGGGGGTACAGGGGAGGGTGGTACAGGGGAGGGGGTACAGGGGTGGGGGGTACAGAAGAGAGGGGTACAGGGGTGGGGGTACAGGGGAGGGGTACAGGGGTGGGGGTACAGGGGTGGGGGTACAGGGAGGTGGCAGGGGAGGGGTACAGGGGGGGGGTACAGGGGAGGGCAGGGGTGGGGGGCAGGGGAGGGGGGGCAGGGGTGGGGGGGTACAGGGGTTGGGGCAGGGGAGAGGGGGTACAGGGGAGGGGGTACAGGGGGGGGGGTACAGGTGGGGGGGTACAGGGGAGAGGGGGGCACAGGGGTGGGGGTACAGGGTGGGGGGTACAGGGGAGGGTGGGGGCAGGGGAGGGGGTACAGGGGTGGGGGCAAGAGGAGGGGGCACAGGGGTGGGGGGTGCAGGAGGGGGTACAGGGGTGGGGGTACAGGGGTGGGGGCACAGGGGTGGGGGTACAGGTGAGTGGGTACAGGGGAGGGGTACAGGGAGGGGGTACAGGGGTGGGGTACAGGGTGGGGGTACAGGGGTGGGGGTACAGGGGTGGGGGTACAGGGGTGGGGTACAGGGGAGGGAAGGGGAGGGGCACAGGGGTGGGGGGGGTACAGGGGAGGGGGTACAGGGTGGGGTACAGGGAGGGGGCAGGGGTGGGGGGTACAGGGGTGGGGGTACAGGGTGGGGGTACAGGGGTGGGGGTACAGGGGTGGGGGGTACAGGTGGTACAGGGTGGGGTACAGGGTGGGGGTACAGGGGTGGGGGGGGTACAGGGGTGGGGGTACAGAGGGAGGGGGGTACAGGGAGGGGGGTACAGGGGTGGGGTACAGGGGAGGGGGTACAGGGTGGGGTAGGGTGGGGGTACAGGGGTGGGGTGGTACAGGGAGGGTGGTACAGGGAGGGGTACAGGGGTGGGGGTAAAGGGTGGGGGGGTACAGGGGGCAGGGGAGGCATGGTGGGGGTACAGGGATGGGGGTACAGGGGTGGGGGGTGGGCAGGGTGGGGCACAGGGGTGGGGGCAGGGTGGGGTACAGGGTGGGGGGGGGGTACAGGGGAGGGGGGCAGGGGTGGGGGGTACAGGGGTGGGGGGTACAGGGTGGGGCTACAGGGGGGGTACAAGAATGGAGGTGGGAGGGGTGAGAGGTGAGGGGTGGTGATGGACGGTGGGTTAGGAGGGGTGAGAGGGGTGGAGGGTGGAGGGGTGGGGTGAGGGGTGGGGTTGGTGGAGGGTGAGAGGGGTGGGAGAGGTGGAGGGTGGTGATGGAGGTGGAGTTTGGAGGGGTGAGGGTGGAGGGTGGAGGGGTGGTGATGGACGGGTGGGGTTGATGGAGGGGTGAGAGGGGGTGGAGAGGGTGGAGGGGTGGTGATGGACGGGAGGTTGGTGGAGGGGTGAGAGGTGAGGGGTGAGAGGGTGGAGGGTGGGGGTGAGGGGCCGTAAATAGCTCACGCCATTAACTCATAAATCATGGGGCAATTTGTAATGGCTTTATGGTATTATCCCTGACCTCATAACACCCTCGCTTTCCTCCTTCCTCCTCCTTCTCTTACCGTCGTCTTCCTTCAACCTTCCTCTTTTTCTTCAATATCTTATCTTTTCTTTCTTTATTCTTTACCGTTTTCCCTCTTCCTTTTCTTCTCCTTCCTTCTCCCTCTCTTTCCATCCCCTTCTTCCCTCCTCTTCTCCTGCGTCTTCCACTTCTTCCTTCATCCTCTCCTCCGCCCTCCTTTTCTGCCTCCTTCTCTTCCGTCTTCTCTTTATACATTCTTCCTCATCTTTCACTCTCCCATCTTCCTCCCTCCCATGCCTAACCTAACCTAGCCTAACCTAATCCTAACCAAACCTAACCTAACCTCAACCAACCTCACCCTAACACTAGCACTGACATTAACACTAACCTAACCTCACACTAACACTAACCTAACCTAACCTAACATAACCCCACACTAACCTAACCTAACCTAACCCCACACTAACCTAACCTAACCTAATATATATATCATTCAAATCTCCACCTCCACCTCACACCACCTCTCTGTTCTTATCTAATCATGCGGCAGTGTAACTTAGTGAAGGCTATAGACGTCATGCACTGTATCCTCACTCTGCATGATATAAAGGCAGTGTGACTTAATATTGAAGGTCATGCAATCATATGAAGTTGTGCATGATTTACTGTGAATGATCAGTCTAGCTCAACCTATCATGTCAGACTGTGCATGACCTATTGTGCACTTTCAGTCTAGTTCAAATCTATCATGTCAGACTGTGCATGTCCCATTGTACCGTCAGTCTATTTAACGTCTATCATGTCAGGCTGTGCATGACTTAATGTACCGTCAGTCTTGTTCAAATCTATCATGTCAGACTGTGCATGACTTAATGTACCGTCAGTCTAGTTCAAATCTATCATGTCAGACTGTGCATGACTTACTGTACCGTCAGTCTAGTTCAAATCTATCATGTCAGACTGTGCATGACTTAATGTACCGTCAGTCTAGTTCAAATCTATCATGTCAGACTGTGCATGACTTAATGTACCGTCAGTCTAGTTCAAATCTATCATGTCAGACTGTGCATGACTTAATGTACCGTCAGCTAGTTCAAATCTATCATGTCAGACTGTGCATGACTTAATGTACCGTCAGTCTAGTTCAAATCTATCATGTCAGACTGTGCATGACTTAATGTACCGTCAGTCTAGTTCAAATCTATCATGTCAGACTGTGCATGACTTAATGTACCGTCAGTCTAGTTCAAATCTATCATGTCAGACTGTGCATGACTTAATGTACCGTCAGTCTAGTTCAAATCTATCATGTCAGACTGTGCATGACTTAATGTACCGTCAGTCTAGTTCAAATCTATCATGTCAGACTGCATGACAATGTACCGTCAGTCTAGTTCAAATCTATCATGTCAGACTGTGCATGACTTAATGTACCGTCAGTCTAGTTCAAATCTATCATGTCAGACTGTGCATGACTTAATGTACCGTCAGTCTAGTTCAAATCTATCATGTCAGACTGTGCATGACTTACTGTACCGTCAGTCTAGTTCAAATCTATCATGTCAGACTGTGCATGACTTAATGTACCGTCAGTCTAGTTCAAATCTATCATGCCAGACTGTGCATGACACATTATGTAGTCTACAGCACCCGTCCGTCATGTGAGAATGTGCGTGATTTGAAGGCCGCGTGAGTTATGCCTTAAGACCGGGCATAACGAGACTTGCGGACACTGACCTGTAATCAGATCTGTCCATTACACGGTCAATAGGAAGTGATATCATACCCGGAACTGACGTCACACCAGGAACTGACGTCACACCAGTGATTGACGTCACACCAGGAATTGACGTCACACCAGGAACTGACGTCACACCAGGAACTGACGTCACACCAGGAATTGACGTCACACCAGGAACTGACGTCACACCAGGAATTGACGTCACACCAGTTAAATAAAACTTAATATACTGACACAAAAGTTCATTAATTTATCAGTCATTTTGTATTTTGTCCCAGTTTATCATTCTCGTGTTTTCTGGCTATTCGTTATTTATTCACTTATCAAATTCCTCTTATAATTCCCTATCCAAATATCTAATTCATTTTATATTTACATTCTATTTATATATTTCGTCATTTTTACTTATTCCTAATTTATCCATTTTCATTATTCATTCATCAAGTTTTTATTTCCCTTCAAATATGAAACTCATAATGAGAGAGAGAGAGAGAGAGAGAGAGAGAGAGAGAGAGAGAGAGAGAGAGAGAGAGAGAGAGAGAGAGAGAGAGAGAGAGAGAGAGAGAGAGAGAGAGAGAGAGACCCTTCACAATAAATAAATAAAACAATATTCACCTAACCTAACCTAACCTAACCTCTCACCATTTATAATTACCCCCTAGAAAAGTAACCAAACACCGATTAAAATATTCCCAATTATATATATAAAAAAGGTCATTTGAAAATAATACCAAAATTACAATAACTAATCATTAATAATTTCCGGATATTTCCCGCGATTATATTATATTTGCTGGTGTTATTTTATACATTCAGGATATTAACATGACTTAGGGATAAATATTTACAGTAATCCTTCCTAACGTAGCTTCCATTATTACCCATGTGGTGTGTGTGTGTGTGTGTGTGTGTGTGTGTGTGTGTGTGTGTGTGTGTGTGTGTGTGTGTGTGTGTGTGTATGTACAGTATGTATGTATGTATGTATGTATGTATGTATGTATGTATGTATGTATGCATGTAATGTTGTGGTTGTTGGTTTGGTGTGTTGTAACTTCTTGAGTATGATGATTTAACCCTTTGAGTAATATGACTTAACCTCATTAGAAAGAAGACTCAATCCCTCCAACCAAACCTACTATAAGAACATAAGAATGGAGGAACCTACAGCGGGCCTATTGGCCCATACTGGGCAGTCCCGTTTATACCAAACCCCTATTACTCATATAAGCATCCAACCTATGTTTGAAGCTATTCAGCGTATTCGAGTTAATGATGATATTTGGTAACTTGTTCCATTCATCACTACTCTGTTCCAAACCAATATTTACTTATTTCACGCAGAAATCTAAATTTGTCTAATTTAAAACCATTGTTCATTCGCTCCTGGTTGGATAGTTTGAGTACCTTTGTAATATCGCTGTTTAACCCTGACTTCATTTATACACCTCTATCATGTCGCCCCTCGCTCTACGTCTCTCGAGGAGTGCAAATTAAGATCTCTTTTAACCTGTCTCTGTATTCAAGGTTCTAATGCCGGGATTGATCTTGTCATTCTCCTCTGGATTCTTTCCAAAAGGATTCTATCTGCATTCTGTAATACGGAGACCAGAACTGAACTGCATAATCAGGTGAGGTCTCACAAGCGCTGAATATAATTTTAAAGATGACCTCGCTAGTCTTGTAACTAACACTCCTTTGTGTGAATTAGAAACTATTAGCCTTGTTATCATTACTCCTAGTCTCTCTCGCAGTCGGATTCACAATGGCATCGTTATTCATCTATTAACTAGTTTCCCCTGTTTACATCTCCTATACTGAGTACTTTACATATGTCACATTGAATTTCATCTGCCATTTTTCCGACCATTTGAAAAATTTTTTAGATCTTCCTGTAGTTTGCAGAGTCCTCATCAGATTTAATTACACGTCTATTTTAGTGTCATCAGCAATTTACTTATGTTGCTGTCTATGCAAATATCTATGTTGTTTATGTATATAATAAATAATAATGGTCAAGTACTGAGCCTTGGGGGAACTCCACTAGTGACGTTGCTCCAATGCGATTTAATTACCGTTATAACTCACTCGCTGTTTCTGTCCCGTAACCACGCCCAAATCCATTTAAGAAGGATATTACCTTTGATATATGCGCTTCTACCTTTCTAATTAGTCTTTCGTAGGACTCTGTCAGAAGAGCTTTGCTAAGTCGAGATATACCCTCATAATTGTGCCCTCGTCCACCGATTCGAAGCTGATGAAAAAGAATGTTAATAGATTAGTTAGACATGAATGCCCGCGGCGGAAGCCGTGTTGGGAATCATTGATCAGCGAGCTTCTCCAGGTGGTTTCAGACTTTGAAATAATTGATTCATGGTACCTACTATTGATGTTAGACTGATTGGGCGTGATTTAGAGGATGGTGATCTATCCCCATCTTGAAAATCGGTATTACATTCGCTATCCTCCAGGTTGCTGGTACTACCTGTTTTTAATGACATATTGAAAACAACTTTGCTAAGGGCATACTAAGCTCTTCCTTACATTCCTTTTAATACTCTGGCAAATATCTCATCGGGACCAGGTGACTTATTAGGTTGTCTATTTGCTTATTAACATCGTTACTAGTCACTACTATCTCCGCTTATTTGTTTCTTCACTATCTCTGTATAGAGTCGGTGCCTCAGGTATCATGTTTACCCCAAATTTTCGGTGGTGAAAAACTGTTGAAAAATATTTATTCGATTATTGCTCATTTCTCTGTCATTATCAGTTAGCGCGCCGGTATCTGAACGTATTGATCGAAATCTTATCTCGTGTTTTTAGTTTGATACATTTGGTAGAATCCTTTGGGGTTTGTTCGCCTCCTGCCATCTTCAGTTCATAATTCCTCTTTTGCTTTTCTTATCTCGGTCTTCACCCTACCGGCCAGTACCTTATATATAATACTCCGGAGGTAAGCTTATACGATTTATCCTTCTACCTATAGCTTTCCTTTGACCAATAATGTTCTTCTTATAATTATTTATCCATTTAGGTCATTGTTGTCTGATCTGGGATTTTTGTATGGTATGTTATGCCTTTGTGCATTAAGTAACCCATTATTTAAATTATTCGTGGAGACTCGGCAATCTCAGATCTCGTTATCAGGTCAGTGTCATCTATGAGCTCGCACCCAAGCGCGACACCTCCCTCAGCTGCCTCTTTAAACTACCAAAGTCTGCCTTCACCAATCTGGGACTTTGTGGAATTTATAACGTCTGACCTGAAAATCTAACTGGAATCTAATTTCTTTGTGATCGCTGTTTGCAAGTTCGTTCCCCTACCTCGACATTGCTAATGAGGTTTCTCTGTTCGACAGAACTAAATCCTGATATATTATTACCCCGGGTGGGTTCGGTTATGTGTTGACGAGAGCAGTCCTGGATCGTTTCGAAATCCTCTGATGCTGAGTTACCCGTAAGGTCAGTCAATCTATTTGGCCGGGTTAAAATCGCCTACTATACAGACTTTGTTGTGTATGAAGCCCATAACATTTCATCCCAGATAAGTCACTCATTAACTCTATCAAGATTGGGGGGTCTATATATTACTCCTATGATTAATTTTCCCTAGTTGATTAATTCTATCAAATTGTTTCTGTATTCCGCTCAGTTTTATTTCATATTTATTTCGCACTTCAGATTATCCTGACATGAATGGCTACTCCGCCTCCTTTCCTGGACAGCCTATCGGTATGGAACAATTTGTAATCCGCAATTTGAGGTGTTCGACCGGCAACTCCGTGAGTCTAGGTTGATCCATGTTTCAGTGAATGCTATTATGTCGATTTTTTTTTTCGGTACATACCAGAGCCTAATATCATCCATTTTGTTTCTCATACTTCTACTGTTCGCGTAGTAGACATTTAAGTTAGTCGTGTTCTGAGTCCTCCTTTGCCGCATTTGGGTTTAAACTCCTGTCTAATGTAGTTTGTCATCATTCTAACACTATTTCCTGTAATCTTTCCTTTGTTTACCCGCTCCCACTGCAGTTTCCCCCACCCTGTGCCCATATGTTCCCCTAGCAGTTTAAAATTTGATATCTTTTGAACTGCCCACCTCCTAAGACAGCCAGGGTTGCCACCCCCTCCCCTAGCATAAAGGTCCCTTCTGCCGTGAAAGTTGTCCCAGTTATCAATGAATGGGACTGAAGCATTGACTTGCAATATCCGTCAAGACGGCCGTTGACCTGTGCCGTTGACAACCATTCATTAACTAACTCTCCTTCTAGGCAGGACACCACATATGATGGGGATCCCTCCTTAGTCCCTAATACGATCTGTAAGCTGTCTTGAACTTATCAAGCTCTTCCTCTACACCGTATCATTGCCTCCTGCACTGAGGAGCGGATAATGGGTTTGTTCCCCGTACCAGACAGATATTGTCCATCCTCTCAACTATATCCCCCACCCCCAGCTCTGGCAAACACACCCTCATCCTATTTTTATTTTTTTACCACAAAATCTGTCCAAGTACCTTACCTGTGAGTCCACCAACAATTAAAGTTTTATACCTTCCTTTGTCAGCCCTGTCTGAGCTGTACTAACGTCCAATTCGTCTATCAAGGGATGAACGAGTTGGTAGACAGCTGTTGTTGTCGTATCCGTGGTGTGTTTTTCACCCCAGTTTGGTTGTCCCCTCTCCTCACAACTTCATTCCCCCAGAGTTATCGTCCTTCACCCTTTCCTTGTAGCACTACCACAACCAGGAACTACCACAACCAGGAACGACCACAACCAGGAACTACCACAACCAGAAACTACCACAGCCAGAACTACCACAACCAGGAACTACCACAACCAGGAACTACCAAACCAGGAACTACCACAACCAGGAACTACCACAACCAGGAACTACCACAACCACAAACTACCACAACCACCACAACCAGAACTACCACAACCAGGAACGACCACAACCAGGAACTACCACAACCAGAAACTACCAGCCAGGAACTACCACAACCAGGAACGACCACAACCAGGAACTACCACAACCAGAAACTACCACAGCCAGGAACTACCACAACCAGGAACTACCACAACCAGGAACTACCAAACCAGGAACTACCACAACCAGGAACTACCACAACCAGGAACTACCACAACCACAAACTACCACAACCAGGAACTACCACAACCAGGAACTACACAAAGGACTACCAAAACCAGAAACTACCCAGGAACTACCACAACCAGTAACTACCACAACCAGGAACTACCACTACCTACAACCAGGACCAAAACCAGAAACTACCACAACCAGGAACTACCACAACCAGAAACTACCACAACCAGGAACTACTACAACCAGAAGCTACCACAACCAGGAACTACCAAAACCAGTAACTACCACAACCAGGAACTACTACAACCAGAAGCTACCACAACCAGGAACTACTACCACAACCAGAAACTAACAACCAGTAACTACCACAACCAGGAACTACCAAAACCAGAAACTACCACAACCAGGAACTACTACAACCAGAAGCTACCACAACCAGGAACTACCACAACCAGGAACTACCACAACCAGAAACTACCACAACCAGTAACTACAACAACCAGAAACTACCACAACCAGTAACTACCACAAACAGGAACTACCACAACCAGGAACTACCACAACCAGGAACTATCACAACAAGGAACTACCACAACCAGAAATTACCAAAACCAGAAACTACCACAAGGAACTACCAGGAACTACCACAACAGGAACTACCACAACCAGGAACTACCACAACCAGGAACTACCACAACCAGAAACTACAGAACTACCACAACCAGGAAACTACCAAACCAGGAACTACCACAACCAGGAAACTACCACAACCAGGGAACTTACCACAACCAGGAACTACCACAACCAGAAACTACCACAACCAGAAACTACCACAACCAGGAACTACCACAACCAGGAACTACCACAACCAGGAACTACCACAACCAGGAACTACCACAACGCCTCGACCAAGATTCACCACAGGGATAATGGCTCTATAGATCGGGTTAAATGTCTCCAGTAGGAGTTACCACAACGTCTCCTGCAGAAGGTAGAGTATTACTGGGTTAATCCTCTTACAGATCTCCACAACGTCTCCAGGAGGAAAAGGCAGAGAGGTTTATGTTTCACCTGATTTTCTTACCTCCACCTCCAGCAGCCACAAGAGAGACCACTACTCGGCCAGGAGCTACTTAACTCCCCCGTCAGGAGCCACCACAAGGGGTAATACTGCAGCAGAACCACTCTCTTTTTCCTACTGGGAGCCATTACATAGAATTGCCAGCACGACAAACACGCTCGCTAACCCTCCCTACCAAGAGTGGATGTCCAGCACCGCCTTCTGCAGATTCTGATCCCGCGAACTGCACACAGGGAAGAGGTTCTCAGAGAAGACGGTGACGGGGGAGCTATTATGGTCACAGTCGCCGGGAGCCAGTGACTATGTTGAGGCCACGATGGTGTACTAACGCGAAGGTACTTTCTCTCTCACACTCCCTTGTGCACTCTTACACACACACTCTGACACACTTTCACACTCACTCTAACGCACAGTCTTATACACACTGCGTTACACAATTTCACATGCACAGATTCTAACACAATATCCTTGCACACAGACTCTTTCCTCTTCACCCAACCCTCATACACACTCACTCGCTTACCTCTCCACATACTCGGTCACTTTCTCTCTCTTTCATAGCAGGTCCTCACACACACACACACACACACACACACACACACACACACACACACACACACACACACACACACACACACACACATACACACACACATACACACACACACTTTGCTGTAACTCAGAATCTAGTATGACGATCATCCAGCTATGATACAATGATATGAGTTATTAGGGATGTCACCTTCATTGGTGAGTTTTGAGGTGACTAAAGAAACCGATACGGGACCTGCAGCGTCGTTCACATTCGTTGCACACGTGAAGAGCTCCATCTACTGCGGGAGGGGCGGTGGTAACGTTTTTCCGGCGTTGGCGCTTGTCTGCCTCGGTTTGCAGTCGGGCTAACTCGAAAGTACTGACACCTTCTCGTGTGGTGCTCCTCCAAGCGTTACAATGTGGAGTAATCGACTCCCAGGTGAAGAGGTCAATTTTACACTTTTCGTTAGGTGACTGTAAAGTAGCTGCTTTGGCAGTCTACTTTCGTCCATGCGGGTAACATGGCCAGTCCAACGTAGTTGTTCATGGATAATGGTAGCCTCGTTGCACCTGCAGTTGGTGTCAGCAAGAATACTGACATTTGTTCTCTTGTCTTCCCAGCGAACTCGGAGGATGGAACGTAGACTACGTTGGTGAAAGTTTTAAAGTGCCTTGAGGTGCCTCCTGTATGTGACCCATGTCTCGGTGCCATATAGCAGGGTGGGCAGGACCACTGCTCGATATACGTGCAGATTTGTAGATAATTTCAGCTCCCTACAGCTGAAGACATGATTTCGCGGTCTGCCAAAGGCTTGAGATGCACATCTGATCCGATGCTGAATCTCTTCATCTACGTCTGCGGTGGTAGACAAGTTGGAGCCGAGATACCGAAGAGTGGGCAACATTACAGAAGGTAGAACCATTAACCTGGATGGATGGTGGAGGTGTGTCTGAACCAGGGGCAGGTTGAAAGAGAACCTGAGTCTTACGAACATTCACCTCAAGGCCGAAGTGTGCATACGCGTTTGCGTAGATATTCAGGATCTCCTGTAGGTCGTGTTCAGTGTGAGCAACAAGGGTGAGGTCGTCTGCATACTGAGGTTCAGTAATGGAAGCTGTCGACAGCTTTGTTCTTGCCTGGAGTCGTCTTATGTTGAAAAGACCCCCTTCACCCGGTACTCGATGTTCACCCCGCTGGCTAAATTGGCACTGGCACGAGTAAGGAAGGCAGCCAAGAAGATGGAAAAGAGAGTTGGTGCAAGTGCACACCCTTGTTTAACCCCCGTTTGGATGAAGAAGAACTCTGACTGGGTGCCTTTGTACAGGACACTGCCGTTCATGCCATCATGGAGTTGCCTCACAATGGCGATGGATTTTGGTGGGCAGCCAAATCGGCTGAAAGTCCCTGTTGACTGAGTCAAGGGCATTGGTTAGGTCGATGAAAGTCATGTACAGGTCACGACGCTGTTCTCTGCACTTTTTATGTGTCTGGCGGGCAGCAAAGATCCTGTCAGTGGGGCCTCGTGATGGTCTAAAACTACATTGAGATTCTGGGAAGGACTTCTCAGGAAGAATTCTGTTTAGGAGGACTCGGGCGATACTCTTGCCAGCTAAGGAGAGCAGCGAGATCCCACGGTGGTTGCCACAGTCTGACCGGTCTCCCTTGTTCTTATAAATATTGACAATGGAGGCGTCTTTAAGAGCTTGGGGGATTTCCTCCGTTTCCCATATATTCTCCAGGAGAGAGTGGAGACGGGTGGTAAGCAGAGGTCCCCCTGCTTTATACAGCTCGCCTGGGATTCCATCAGGCCCTGAGGCTATGTTATTTTTCATCTGTTTGATGGCAGTAGCTACCTCATTCAGGGATGGAGGATAGCTGAGGTGGATCAGCTCTGGGTGCTGAGGGACCTGCTGGGTAGTCAGGACATCCACATCGGTGTTTTGGTTGAACAATGAATAGTAGTGCTCTTTCCAGCGCTAAAGGAAGCCTTCATCATCTTTAATTATGAGGTTAGCGTCAGATGAACGGGGGTGGAAATGAAAAATTTGCGCATCTTGTGCTGATCTGCAAGTTTTTATGCTTCACATGTTTTATTTTAAGCCAGTCGTTCTTTAGATTGCGAAGTTCCCGCACGCACGCACACCCACCTTCTCACGTAGTCTTGTACCTTCAGGAATAAGTAATGTAAATAGTTAGATTAGGTTAGGTTCCGAGTACCCTCTGACTTTTTATAATGGACAAAAAGTAACAGAGTTTTGACTCCTGCTCGACCACCGACCGACAGAAACAAAACAAAGTTACTAATAAGAAGTTGAAAGTTAAAAAGCAACATTTTCAACTTATTTCACAGCATCAGAAAAATGACAGACTCACGGACGGACCAAAAAAGTTTACCCTCAGTGACTTTCTTGTTTATAAGATTTTTTATGTTGTTGTTCCTATATAATATAACCTCCCACACTTCAAAAGATTAACCTAACCTAACCTAACCTAACCTAACCTAACCTAACCTAACCTAACCTAACCTACCCTAACCTAACCTAACCTAACCTCCCACACTTCAAAAGATTAACCTAACCTAATCTAGCCTAACCTAACTTACCTTAACCTAACCTAACCATCTCTCCTTTACGAACCAGGAAGAAAAAGAAAGAGAGAGAGAGAGAGAGGGAGAGAGAGAGAGAGAGAGAGAGAGAGAGAGAATATCACAAAGAATATATCCTTACAAAATATACCTGAAACGAGGGGAAAAATCCACTTGACTGATTATGATGGTAAATATTGGAAATGAGGGGAAGGATTCGTTCAGGGTGGAAAATGAGAAGAATACAACCCTAATACCGGGGTTATGTTATGTAATGAGGGGAAATAGATGCATTTGACTGAGGGAAATAGTAAAGAAGGGATTCTTTCAGAGGGGATTTAGGAGAGGAAAATTACGAGAAAGCACCTGTAACGAGGGGAAAAGGGATGAATTAGGCTTCAGTGACAAGGGGTATCCGAGTATCAGGCTGAGGGAAACAAGGGGAAAATGCTAGAGAAGAGATGAGATTAGAGTTGAAATAGGATGAGAATACATCCCTGTCGCGAAGCTGGTGTCTGAAACGAGGGGAAAAAAGATTCAGCGATCACATCAGGATATATAAACGTGAGGATGAGGGTGATAGGGAAGAGGGGAGGAACTAATTCAGAGGGGAATCAAGAGGGGGAAAAGGATGATAACGCACGGTAGGTTGGTGTCTGAAACGAGGGGAAAAAGATGCATTAGACTTCACGCCATGGTAAGTGTGGAGTATCAGACCGAGGGGAAATGAGGGGAGAAGATTAGAGAAGAGGGGAGTTTAGAGGGGAAAATGGGATGAAAATTTTCCCCAATCCTGAAGTTAGTATCTGTGAAAGAGGGGAAAAGGGATTCATATATTTCTGTGAGGAGAGGTATTGGAGTATCAATCTAAGGAAAATGAGGGGATATCGCCCATGGTGAGGGGAGAGAAGAGGGGAAACATAAGAAAAACTTTCCACACTCGTCAGTCTCGTGTCTGTACCGAGGGGAAAAAAGAATCTAGGATTTCAGTGATGAAGCGTATTGAGCGATCCAACCGAGGGAAACAGGGGGAAAACTGCCCATGATAAGAGGAGTTAAGAGGGGAAAAAAGAGGAAAGTACATCCCAATCCTGAAGCAAGTGTCTTTAATGAGGGGAACAACAACTAACATTAAAGACCAAACCCGACTCACACAAGGGGAAAATGAATGTAATTAGAGGGGAAAATTAGCAATGAAACTGGCGACTATAATGAGGGGAAATGAGCCATAGTCTCTCTCACAGTTCGAGGGCATGGTTAAGGAAGGAGAGAGAGAGAGAGAGAGAGAGAGAGAGAGAGAGAGAGAGAGAGAGAAACCTAAGGGTGAAAGAGTGAGATAGTAGTAGAGTGAGAGAAGGAGAAAGTGAGAGACTGACAACTGAGGAAGGTGTGAAAGCTTAATGGGAAAGCTTTGAATAAAAGAGGCATGAAAGTTTCGTGGGGAAAGCTTAAGGAAAGATAGAAAAAGATGGAGACAATGAAAGCTTGATGAGAAACCTTAAAGAATGTGAGTAGTGGAAGCCTCGTAAGAAAGCATAAGGCAGGAGAGAGTGTGAAACCTGGTTAAGCTTCGTGGGAAAGCTTGGAGCAGGAGAAAGTGTGTACAAATAGTGAAAGTCTGGAAGGAAATCTTTTCCGTGATAGAAAGAGGGAGACAAGAGAAAGCTGTGGAGGCTCGCTCGGAAATCCTTAGCTAAGAGAGAGAGCGTGTAAAAGTAGTGAAAGTTTTAGCGAAATATTT